ATTTAATGCTGCTCTCAATAAAAAAGGGAAATAAACCTATTCTATCTATAGTAAGCAGTTGAACCCAGGAGCACTATTTAATTATTTGTTTCTGTTGTTTATTGGGGGCCTCCTGGAAAGTAGCTTGAAGCTAAGTGTAATTAGTTACTTACTTTTTACTTTTTTCTTAAATCAAATTCACGAAGTTCTGTTGATACCTGAAACCAATCATGGTTATGATCGAATCCTTTCTGGAAGGATTATCCTCTTTCGAGTTCTAGTTACTTCAGTAACCATTATAAAGCAGAACATTTCTTAGACTTTGTATCTTAACACGAATGAATAAAAGTGGATGCACTTACCAAAGGCATACTGAAGACTTTCAATTTTCTGGCTGGTTAATCTAAAGGCACATCAGCGAACAACGAATTGGCACTCAGCGAATTACTTAATCAGTTAAGCAACTGAGTTCGAGGCGTAAAATTTACGAAAGTTAATGTTCTTAATTGATAATTTTTTCAGGAACACTTTTAAAGGGCCGCCAGAAGTATTTTCCAGGTACTTAAAGAAAGGAATGCCTTTAGTTGGTTGTGGTATTTGTTCGATTAGTGGTTTTTTTGAAGTCCACAATTCAGTCTTTGAGTTTTAAAACAGGGCCGTAGCCAGACTTCAGAACAAGACGAAGCAAGTTTCGGGTCTGACATGCCTACCCCAGAAAATTTTGAAATCTAGAGGCTTAGAAATGCTCTTTCAAGCATTTTCCGTGGCACTTTTCTTTAGAAAAGTCAATCTTGGGCAAGTGTGGAAGTTCACTTTTTTATTGCCGAGCGATACTGGTGCAAAAAAAAAAAAAGGAAAAGGCCAAAATCAAGACAAGGCAATTGCCTTGTCTTGCCTCATGCTAGCTATGGCCGTGTGTACTAAGGTTTTTCCTTTAAGGCAATTTTATGCAGCATAATGTACTGTCTGACTGTAAGTACCAGTACATGGTACACCGGCACTAATAGTAAAGCATACCAGTAAAGGAACTAACAACATGGATCACAAGGGAGCTTTTCAACATCATTTTATTTAATCTTCAAAAAAACTCCGTGTTACACACAGGGTAATACGATCACTACTTTTAATTCATTTGTAGACTTCTTTTTTCTTTAAATTATCACCTACAGTTGATTTACTGATCCCAAATTTACTGCTTAGAACCTTCATTATTGGTTTAGGTGCTGATTCCGTGCGTCTGACCAACTCAATTCTCTTCTCTAACAATAACTCGATTCTTTGGCGTTTCGCTGGTCTCTCAGACGTAGTGATGTTTGCTACTTCGTTTGTTTTTGCAAGTGATTTCACCCGCAACATGACAGTCTCTTAACCTCACCCCTATTGTTGTCATTCATTCAACCCAACAACAGCGGCATGATTGTCAATTTTTTCCTTCAGTATCTGATAGAACAATGAGTAATTAGCCAATGCATGTTTCTCACTTCTGATTGGAATTTCACAACTGCATGATTACGAGTTTAATTGTAATCACGCTTTAAAATGTGTGATTTGATTTTGGCAGCAAGCTTAAAACTTTCACGTCCAGTTTAAGGAGGTCAATTTCTTTGTCACTATGTGATTACGGACTGAACAACATGTCCAGTTTCTGGAAGTGAGAGGTTTCCGTTTATTAAGGTTGAAAAGAGAGAAAATGTATGACAGAGATTTTGGGGCTGAAAAAAAAGTCTGGTATAGAGATGATTCTGGTTTAATGAGGGTCCTGTTCAGAGGGGTTCCACTGTATCTGATTATTGGTCATATTCAAATCTTCCTGACATTTTTCAACATATAGGTAAATAAATGTAGTGGTGCATAATATATGTTTATCAGTACTTCTTTTTGCAGAAAATTAGAAAAAGAACACAAACTTGAGTTTAAAAAGCGATTTGTTAAAGAGCCTGATCAACTAACAGATAAAAATTTAAATAAGCTTGTTTAGGGAACATTTGATTGAATCACACTATTATCAAATTGGAGTCAAATTACAGTTTTGTGCCTACTGTGCCTTCCCTCTAGGAAGGCTGCAGGCACTATGTCATGGTGTTGTGTAAATCCCTAAGCATCCCCTAAGGCAGCTTTCAAAATGGTGGAAGATCTTGAGACACTAGTAACACTTCTTGTGACTCTTCTTGGCTCGGTTCTGACACTGGTCATTGTTGAACAAATTTGATTGGGTTTCTTTGGATTCAATTTTCTTTTTTAGGGGTTTAATTAATTTTTTTTAGGGCCTTTCTCTGCATGTCAATATGTTGTTTTTCATTTGAATGAAAGAGCTATGTTTCCTAACAAAAATTTGGAACCTGACAGAGCCTGTTCATCGCTCTGTGCCAGGTTTTTGTTAGGCTCTTTATTGCTCTGTCTGGTTCTGCTTTTATCTTGCTGATGTCTGATGGCTGGTGTCTGGTTAAAATGTTAGGCTGTAATCAGGCATGTCCAGCCAGACGTTTTCTTATGGGTTGTCAAACATCAAATGTTTACTCTGAACATATCTAGCATATCCTTTGTAGAAGAATTTAAATTATGATGAAAAAAAAAGATGAAGAAGAAAAAAAATTAAAAGAAAAAAACAAGAAACAAGAACAAAAACAAACTGGCATGGCCAGGGCTCAAACCTTTTACCTTTGGGGAGTAGGTACATCCTTAGCCTTGGATATGCAGAGTGTACAGAATGGTAAAGTTTTGTAATGGGTTAAATTTGTGGCACATTTGTAGATTGTGCTAGGCTACAAAGTAACTGAAGTACAATCAGAATTTTATTATTGTTGCACGAAGAATTCACTAATTGGTCTTGGCCCTAAATAGATAAAAATACCAAGGTAATTAAAAGTAAAAATATTTGGCACGAAGAAATTTTCCCAAAAAGGACAGTCATACCATAAATGGTCCAAGCAATTCCATAAGCCAAAGCGTCAGTATCAAACTGGTGGCCATTGAGCTTTGCCACAACAAGATAAACAAACTATGAAATGAGATAAACATTTTGTTTATTTCCTTTAAACTGGGTAACACAAGGCAACAATAATCCTTGAACCAGTAGACGAAATGAGTCCAATCTGCAATGAAATAAAAGGACTAGTGTTGGCACTGGAGTCATGTAACAGGGAGGGAGGGAATTAGTGAATTCTTTGTGCAACAATAATAGAATTCTGATTGTACTTCAGCTTCTTTGTAGCCTAGCGTAATCTACAATTCTCTAGCATGTTGCACTCCGAATTCACTAATTGGTCTCGTTCTAAGCAACTGACCTATGAAATGACTGCTCTGCCAAAGGAAGCTGAGTGGCGAGGGCGGCGGTAGAAATGATTGAAAGTTGTCTCTCTAGACCAGTCAGCTGCTGCCAAGATATCTTTGACAGATACACCACCCTGTCTTGCTGCAGAGGAAGAAGCACCTTGTGTTAAATGAGCTTTAAAGACACTAGTGTCTATCCCAGTATCTTGTAA